ATATTAACGATCAGGCCAGTGCTGCTTCCTCGAGAAAGTTTTTCATTCTCACGTGTTCTCATGTGATTTTAAGTCTTGTCAGTTTAAACATTAAAACCCATGGGGTTGGAAGTTGGGGGGGCGCGAGTGAAATTAGACCAACTTGGGGGGGCGCATGTCCTAAAAGGTTGAAAACCCCTGAGTTAATGAATATTAATTAAGTTGTGCTTTCATTTCTTTATAACCTTAGTGAAACATCCAGTCATGTAACATATTATCTCTATCTGTATTATACATCAGCTATTAAGTGTCCAATTTAAGCTGTTCTGGCAGAATTATGAATCCTACTGGTGTGAGCTCATGAATATTAATTAGGTTGAGCTTACTTTACTATATAACCTTACTGGAGCATCCCATCACATAAGTAAATTTTTATCAGAATTTCACACCAGCAAACATTTATAAATTGGAATATTTCAGACATTCTAAATTCTACAATGGTGAAGGTTTAACTTTTTTAACTAAAATATTGATAAGATTAAGTAATTAGAGTGCTAATATTCCTTCCTAAGTCATTCAGTCGCCTATGCTAATATATGTCTGTTTTCCACACCAGCAATCGTTCCATCACGAGTCTCTCCTGATGGACCGCAAGGATTTGAAACTGACCAAAGCGGAAAAGAGAGCAGCCAAGAAAAGCTATGAAGATGAGAAGCGGGCATCCGTGCCGTATCAGCGGCCCTCTTACGCACATTACTACCCAGCTAGCGACCAGAGACTCACCAATATCCCTGCTTTCAGCCAGAGGAACTGGTGAGTCCACCACAGAAACCCTAAATGTAGCGCCCTTCTGTTTCGAGAGTATTTTAAAATATGTTTGCTTATCCAAACCTTTCGTTCAGGCGGCCCCCTCGTCATTTAGAAGAGAAACCAGTTGCAAGCGTGAGGCCAGTTCAGTCCACACCCATTCCCATGATGCCCCGACAGGTACCCATGGGCATCCCCGGTTCAAGCGCGGGGTTCCCCGTCAACTACCTGCAAAAAGCTGGCGTTTATGTGCAGCGCGTTGTCACCACCACTGGTACAGACAGTTCACTTGTAGTGCTTGCAACTTCTTGCTTCTTGTTCCCAGTTTGTTTCTTCATGATTTAATGTCTTTGCTCTGCAGATATTGTGATCCCAGGTTCCAACAGCAGCACAGATGTCCAAGCCCGGATCGGTGCAGGAGAGAGTATTCACGTTATCAGAGGATCCAAAGGTACCTCAGTTTCAGAAAACTGTTGAGAGCGTTGGCTGTTCACTGAGTGTTGGTAAGGTTTATTTACTTCATATTCTGTCATTTGCACTGCAGGCACGTACATCAGGACCAATGATGGGAGGATATTTGCCATCCGCTCTGGAAAGCCAAGACCACTGGAAGGAGGAGCCACAGGTTCAAGAGGTGTGCTAATTTACTAATTTGTAAATTAGCAGTTCTTCTGGCATAAGCTTGAGGCAAAATTGATCCCATTTTATAGACTTTTAATGCGTTTCAGTCGGATGTGGGATATTCCTACTTCCGAACTTTGAAGTCATTCCTTTAACTGACATTCAGAAGATGGTAAAACATAAGAAACCAAATGACAATAGTACCATTGTCTTTGAGTTTGAGGATAAACGATGCTATGCAATACACTTTCTATTGCGTTCTATGCAAGTAGGAATGTCAGAAAATGGATTATTGTGCAAAGTTCACCGTTGTACATTTTTCCAAAGACAAAAGATGTGTTGCTTCAAAGATTGTCCTTTTTGGTGCCTCTGTTTCACTTGATCTAGAGGTCTGCGTAGGATGGATGTTTTAGTCCTGTTCCTGCAAGATTTTGTCCTGAATATTGTCCCGTATGATATTGTGATACTGAATATTGTCCGTATAAGGCCCAATGACAGAGGTAGAGGCAAAATGAAGATGCTTTACCTCGCTGGTGTGTACAATCAAAAAGCACTGAGAATATCGAAAACTTTACCTGAAATTGTTCATCTTTCCTACCACCCCCACACTCATTAATTCAAAACTTGTTAGTATCCCGCAGTAGTCACATGGGTGTAGAGGCCTCTACCTTGATCAAGACCACAGTTTTTATTGTTGATGGTTTAATCCTTTACTGGGGTGTGACTCTACGATCTTTCGGTGACCACCTCAGATCTTTACCTAGTAGTTTACACCAACATAAACTAACAAAATCTCTTTCTTTCTCGCAGAGGAATCAGGCCCTCCCTTGCATTTTGTCAGTAACGGTCGTGCATCGCCTCAGGAGCCAAAACGTTTAACCCCCGAGGCTCCGCCTCGTCCTTCGCCCCAAGACAGCCCCAAGCTGCTCCGAGAATTCCAGAGTAACAAGGACCCAGTTCCAGCGGGAGAAAACTTGCCATTTTCAGGAACACCCGAACCCTCGGGAGTGGACAGACCCATCCAGAACCCAGTTCGAATCCCCGACCAACACCGGCAGCTCAGCAATGATATTGCGTCGTCTGTGGACATTCAAAGTTTGAAACGGAAGCTTTTGGAAAGTCGGACATCCAAACCACCTAGCACCAAAAGGACCTCAACATCAACCGGTGTAGCCGGGAGTTACCCGGGATTTCCTTTAAGCAGCGGATTTGGGTTCCCATCCATGGGGCTGAACCCTGCCTTGCTGGGCGCACTGGGTCACATGACTCCCCCCTCTCTTGGAAGCAGGTCGCACCTCCTACAGCAAGCCGGTCAGGCTCTGGGGGACCTAC